TTTTTTGATTTGGCACATGTGCATATGCTATGCACCCAAAACATTTGAAGTAGTCAATAACAGGTTTGCATCCACTCCAAGCCTCTTCTAGTGTCATATCTAGAAGTGGAGATGTGGGACTTTTGTTCAAGATATGAACACTCCAATTAACAGCTTCTAGCAAAAAGTCCTTAGGCAAGCCACTCTTTGACAATAGACTTCGCACCATATTATGATTGTGCACTTCCTCCTCTCACATACACCACTCTGCCAGGGTGTATATGCTACTGTAAGTTGCCTTTTAATACCATTGGATTCAAAAATTTGCAAATTCTTGTGAGTTAAACGCACCACCACGATTTGTGCACAGAACCTTTACAAATCTACTAGCCTCATTCTCAATCAAGACTTTGAAATTTTTAAAGGCTATTAAGGCTTCTAACTTGGTCTGCAAAAAATACACTCATGTTTTGCGACTATAATCATCAACAAAGGTAATAAAGTATGGTTTACCTCCATTGGACGTTGGATTTATAGGTCCACACAAATCAAAATGAACTAGATTTAGCACTCGCTTTGCTTTCCAAGATTTGTCTTTAGGAAAGCTATCGCGATGTTACATACTAACCATGCAAATTTCACAAATTTCTAAAGGAGAATCAAAATGGGGAAGACCATTTACCATCGTTTTCTATTAGAAGGCTTTCAACCCACCAAAATAAAGATGTCCAAATTGACAATGCCATAACCAAGCTGTGTCCTTCAATCTAGCAGATAAACATGACATATTTGCAGTCTGCAAGTACAATAGAAACAACCTATTTCCCATTATCTTGACCTTTGCAATCAAGCCAAGCTTTAAACCACGAACTTGGCAAACTCCATCTTTAATTAGGATTTCATATCCTTTCTCCTAAAGCTATTCTAAACTAAGCAGATTTGGCTTCAAATCTAGTACATACAAAACATTAGCAATAGTTTGAATTGAATTGTCTTTAACATGAATGGTTACCTTTCCCTTTCCCTTGACTGCAATTGTAGAATTATCACCAAATTTCACCTTGTCTTGAAAAGACTCATCCAAATATGAAAACGCAAATTTGTCTCCACACATGTGGTAGCTACAGCCAGTATCCAGATACCACACATTCTTCTTACTGATTTTTTTTAAGGATGACAGGCCATCAATAGAGAGGCATCGTAATTCTTCTCATTATGTTCTACAAAGTTAGAGCTTTCTCCTCTATTCAGTTTAGCACGGTGCTCAAAATGATAATGACCATACTTATGACACTAGAAACATTCAACATTTGCCTTTCCTGCATAATTGGATCTATTATTTGTAGCTTGATAATTTCTGTTCTGCCACCTCTTTTGATTTCCAGTGGCTAAACTTTCCTCTTGTTTGCTAAATCTCAGTCTTCTAGATATCAGTTTGCCTTTCAAGTTTTCTTTTCCTCGACTTACAGCCTTTGAATTACCTATGGTTTACAAAGCTTGCGTCTACAAAATCTACACTGCTTGCTCTTACTTGTCTTGACGGTTTATCTTCCACTCATGAACTTACAATGAATTATGCATCTCATCAAGGGAAAGTGCCTTAATATCATTTGACTCCTCAATTGAATAGACAACATAATTGAATTTTGTTGTCATAGGCCAAAGAATTGTCTCAACCATGGCAATGTCCTCTAGATTTTCACCATGGATCCTCATCTTGTTTGCAATTGCCATCGTCCTTCAAAAATAGTCATCTACAAGTTCACCAATCTGCATCTGTAGACTTTCAAATTCTACCCACAAAGCTTGGCGCTGCAACTGATTTGCTCTTTCATTCCTCTGGTACTTCTTCATGGAATCTCAAATAGTCTTGGAAGTAGACTTATTAAGAATTGTTTCTAAGATAGCCCGATCTATGACTTGGAACAAATAGTTCTTAGCCGATCCTTCAACTTTTTCTTCTCAATTTCTACCCTTTGTGCATCATCTACACCTGCCGCTAGTTTTAACATTCTAGCTTCAACAACTGTCCAATGCTCTTTGGACTTGAGGAAATTCTCCATCAACATACTCTAATGGTTGTGATGATGACCATCAAAATGAAGGATTAAGGGCTGGACATAATTTTTAGAAGCCATGGAATCTGTCAGGAATAGGCTTTGATACAAAATGTTAAGAAACCAAGGAATTTCAGAGAAGAAGAAAATGGAATGAAAATCAAACTCATGCTAAAATAAAAATAAACTAGCCTTTAAATAGGGTTTACAAGATAACTTTATCTAAAAAGATAACTAACCAATAAATCAAACTTATCTAATCTATTTTAAATGATAACAACCTAAACAATAGGAAAAACAAATAAACAACTTAAACTTCCTAAATTATAGAGATAATGGCTAAAAACTAAGATCTAATTTCCAACAATAGGTGTTGATAAAAAGGTGAGTCTAGTTGAAAGTTTGCAGCAAAGAGCCATTGAAGGGTGGAGGAAGAGTGGGAGGTGGAGGTGGAGAAGATGATAAGGAAGGAGGAGTGGTTGGGGAGGGAAATGAAGAGGTGGGTGCCCTTGATTGGGTCAAGAATAGGTGAGAGAGAATAGGGTGGATGGGAGTGGGTGTTAGGGTCAAGGACATGGTAACAGCCAATCAAAATTTTTTTGAAGATTTATATTTGTTCTATTGGTGGGGAATGCTAGATTTTGGAATTGGGGGTATTTCTACATCTTGTTTGTTAGTGGATGGGATAAAATGAAAGTTGTTATTTGGCTTGGGCTTGTTACTGAAAATGCAAAGGGATTGTCTTAAAAGTGTTTGTAAAAATGCCTCAATTAACAACTTGAATATCAAAATCATTTTTGTTATATTAATCTAAATAATGAATTTGAAAATACATGTATTTAAAATTACATGTACTTAAAATCCATCCCTTAAATACAAATTTAAGTTCCCAAACATAACCTAATAGAAATTCACAATATTCAAGTGATATAAAAAAAGTAGATGCAAATTATTCCCCTTTTTCCACCAAATAAAGACTTAAAACATATTGTTCATCTTCAAATAATTGTTTAAACGATGTTAGGCATAAATCGAGTGTTTCACTGGATGAGTTATAAAAAAGGCAAAATTCATTTTGTGCTTGGGCAAGGCAAGATACACCACTCAAAACCTCTATAGTTTCATGAGTAGATGAAGTAACATCATAATAAATGTGTATGTGTGCATGTGCGTTATTTATAAAATTTATGCCATAGTTGTTAAAACCATTAAGACCAACAGAAAGAAAAGTCACGAGATAGTTGGAATTAATAGATGCAAAAAGTTTAACAAAATTATGCTAAATTTTAAATAAAATAATTAATCTATCACTCTTAAATTAGATTTTACCTGCATCATAAGTACAAAATCTTACAATAAAAATCAACAAAAATGAAACAGTCTATGATTGGCACCCAAAAATAGCTCAAACCGTTAGACCTAGGGGTGGGCAAAACCGGTTTTGGTTCAAAACCGAAACCGATTTTGAATTAACCAAAAAAATTTGGTTTTAATTTTGCAAACCAAAACCAAACCGAAATTGTTATAAGCTAATCGGTTTGGTTACCAATTTTTATCAATGAATTCGATTCGGTTTTGGTTTTTATTAAATAAATATTAATTATTTATTTTTTTAATAATAAATTATATTTTATCATATTTTGTTATATTTTATCATATTTTAATATATTTTATTTATTTTATCCTAATTTTGGTTTTATTTTCGATTTTTAATTTTTAAGAGATTCAATCGAAACCGAACCAAAATATATTTGGTTAATATTAAAATCAAAAAAATAAAACCAAAAACCATTAAAACCAAACCGAATTCATTTTTTTGGTTCAATTTTCGGATGAACAATCGATTCGGTTAAAAAATGCTCAGCCCTAGTTAGACCTAAGTAGTCCGATAAATAATAATAGAAAAAATGTCATGCAATCTCATCTATACAATACAGTAAAACCTTACCTATCCATTGAAAAAAACCCTCTGAATATAGGATAATCCTTTTCCTAATCAATAGTCACTTTGTACTGAAAAAGTGGTACTCAATAACAGCAACTTAAAATAAGTAATAATAAGCGTGAATTTTCGAACCACGAGAGGACAATTAACGGCGTCAACATTAATGGCGCGAACTAAACGACTTGGAAGTACTAGACGACGACGGATAAGAACAAACAGTAAAGGGCGCCACTTCTCTCTCGAACGCATCGCCAGCCCTAACTGCCCTTTGACGGCGTCCAAACTAACCCTAATATTGACATTTGACACGCTCTCACGTGCCAAGTGTCCAGATTCTCTCGCCACGTAAGCGCATTTCAATTTCAGTTCCCTCACGTGTTTGGGTCTTGCGTCGACGCTTCACACGCCGAGGTCATTAGCCACTCCAGTTGGACCATTATGCCCTCAAATTCACTCAAAATTCCCAAATAGTAACTACCTATATTTTTAATAAATTTTTTCTTTGATAATATAAAATATTTTATACCGTCTGAAACATATGGAACTCCATAAAAAATTTAATTTTAACTTTAAATTCAAATTAAGATTCCAGGTAATCGTTGGGTACACTAACCTTTGAAGCAAACTCCTGTTAGTTACTTCGAGCCAAGCTTTAATGGAAACGGAAAATTGCAGAAGAGATAAATATATTTTTACAATAAACTGTAGAAAAGAATTATTAATAATAAATTGTTAATTAGGCCTTTGACCTAGCAACAAGACCGACCCATAATCTTGGGTTTAAATTTCCATTTATGTGAGTTTTAATAATTATATACATATTAATTCACGCATCTTACTTTAAACGAGAATAGAATAAATAGAGACTAAATAATACTTTATCTCACGTTGTCAATAAATCATTTTCGTATCTGTAGCATGTACACCATGCAGGTTGGGTTGTTTACCGGGAAAGGAGTTATAGTTGGAGGAGGTGAACCCTAATAATATAAATGCTTCTGGTCATCGGATTTGGTTTCTTCCCTATTTTCTCTCACTTCTAAGAGTAATTTTGGTTTCTCTTTCTTAGCCGTGAATCAGATCTCCGGCATTGACTCACTCCACCGGTAACTCTCAGGTGTTACTGTATTTCTTCATTTCTTTTAATTTTATCTTGTTTGATCTTATATTCTGCCTATCCTAGTCCAGCAACAGAAGAGAATAAAGTGGCATTTTATGTGGAGAGATTAGCGGGGAGTATCTGTTGGGATTTTCCTTTCCCTTTTATTGTTGCTGTCCTCTTTCCCATGAAACCTAAATTCAATAGAAAATGGAATTCAAGAAATTCTGTTTCCCATGAAATTCTCAATTCATCACCATACTTGTCCTGTAATGGCAGGCTCGAATCTAGGAAAGAGATCTCAGTTTAATAAGCTGTTTTTGGAGCATTTTTAAGGAAATAGGAGAAATCTGGGTTTCTCAGATACTAAACTATGTACTCTGCCGCTGTTTCATGCTTTTTTCTCTGCAAGCGCTAAAATTTTCCTTTCTTAAATACTGTTTGGGTGCTAATTCCCTGTTCTTTTCCCTGGCAGGATAGCTTCTGTAGATGAGGTTAACAGTATTGGAGGGTTTTCTCAGTAAAATGTAGTTCACACCAAGAATGGGTTTTTAATGAATGCACTTTGTTTAGCAGACTGGGGGAAGTTTTTACCTGGAAATAGGTATGGCTGAGCAAGGGGAAGAAGAATTTCAATTTCAGCACTCCTGGGCTCCAGCAACCCCTTTGAGGCCCACTCTCCCTACACCACCGCAGATCTATGCTGAAAAACAAGTAAACGCCATAAACCAAGCAAATTGGTTAGGATCAGAGGGATGTCTTCCTGGTTTTACAGGGGAAGCTCAAGCTAATGGGTTACCTGCATGTATTGATCCTGCTGATTGTACTGCAGTCAATGAAGGGGTTAATCACTTACAGACAGCTTTGGCCCGGAGAACTGGCATTTCTATTGGTAACATGACATGCACACAGTTTCCTATCGACCCAACAGCTGAGTTTAGCAATGTCCCTTTTGGAGATCTCTTGGACCTGGCTAATGCTGCCGCAAGGGCACGCTCGAGGCTGAGGGCAGCACCACAGAGGAATGACAGCATGACAACCGATTCTTCCATCTCCACAATGGATTCTAAGAGTGACAGTAACCAAGTGGAACCTAGCTCTGCGGGTCCTTGGCTTGCAGATGATGATTTCTCAAACATTCAGATTGATCCCAACTGCACACCAAGAAAACCACAAAGTAAGATTACTGTTTTCTCTGTCTCTTTTTTTCCTTCTCTGTTGTTTAGTTCAGCAAAGGTGGCTATTTTTCCCTTATAAACAGTTATTGACACACTTAAAAAGATAGCATTGCACATACTATGGGAGAATTAAGAAATAGAACAAACAAAGCTTAGACAGGGCCATATGTGCTTCTAAGAGAGGAAAAATTGGAGATACCTAGCCACTCAAATTAAAAAGAAACAGTTAACATTAGACATTAGCTATCCAACATGATGACAAGCAAATGGTACAGAACTGCAGTTCAGAAAGCCTTGTGATTTATTTTCCTTTAGCTACAATGCCTTACTAATTTCTACGATAGCTCTCTTATGTACCATTTTTTAAAAAACTTCAAGGTTTGTGATCTAATTTAGATTACTTATTTGAAGCTTGATATGTTTTACCTACAGATGAGAGCATTCCCCAACAATCCTATGATCTTAATTTGCTTCCTGGAACTATGGCAAAGGTAGCCTCACACAAAACTATTTCTGAATTTGCTCCAATCACACCAGATAAGGCCATGAGGGTGGGAAGGGAAGAGGCCTTAATAGAAAGTTTACAGGCAGATGACAGAACAAGTAAGGAAAGAGATAAGCAGGGAAATAAACTTACTGCCACAGCAGTTGACTCCAACAGCCTTCAATTCAGCAGAGACCTCCATGAGCCTGTTACAGATTCATCATTGGTTTCTGCTCCAACTGAGGAGAACCAAAATCCTGACAAGGGAGGCAACCAAACTAAAGAAATATCTGGAACACCACAGCAAAAACCAAGGAGGAAAAAGCACAGGCCCAAGGTAATTACAGAGGGCAAACCAAGGACTCCAAAGCCAAGGACACCAAAGAGCAATGGTTCTCAAGAAAACCCAACAGGTAAGAGGAAGTATGTACGTAGGAAGGGAGTCGACAAAGGCTCAAGTACTCCCACAGCAGAAGCAAGTGGAGAGAGCATGACACATAAGAGGAAGTATGTGCGAAAGAAGGTCCTGAATAAAGATTCCTCAGCTCCCACAACAAAAGAAAGTGGAGGGGCTTCCCCAGAAGCACTTGTGGCTAAGAAAAAGTCATGCAGAAGGGCCTTAAATTTTGACATGGAAGGACTGCAGGAAGTTGAAATTTCTACAAGCAAGTCAGTGTGCAGTAATTCAGAGTTAGACGCACAAAACCTTTGGAGAACAGGAAGTCAAGCAAAATCAGCATTGCAGCCTGGTGAAGGAACTGAAGTGACTCCAGAAAACACAGAAGCAAGCATTGCCAATGTCAGACCTTGCTCCAAAAATCAAATTCCAAAACATTCCACATCTTTGTCTGAAGGACAAGCACCAAGCACACCACTTCCTGCCAACAATAAACCCCAACGTGGTAAACGGAAAGCAAATTCCCAAAGGGAAAATTACGTAGAAGGAAAAGATAAAGGAACTGCCCGTGACAGACCAAGACATGATGCACAAATCATGTCACAAACTGACACTGGATTGTCATCGAGAAGCAGAAATAACTTCAATTGTAGAACGAGCTCTACATTGGAGGAGGAGCAAGCAAGAAGAGGGTTGAAGAGAAACAATTCCAATTCTACTGAACCAAACACTAGTAATACAAATGTATATGGGAGTCACTACAACAGTTTATGCACTTATCAGGCAATGTCATGTATGCATTTTCCAAATATTCACAAAAGAAAGAGAACAGATAAAGGGCAAACTTCTACCACATCTGATGTACCATCCCTGATTGCTGCAGAAATTTTTGTACCTCAAGGAGCATGCTCTGTGGATACTGCTAGTGGAGGTCTCACAACACTCAGAGAAGCAGTAAGAGAAAATCCTCAGAACATACAACAAACTTTTGGCTGCATCATTGCTTTTAATCAGAATAAGAGACTGAAAAAGAAGAGATCTAAAGCTTCCACTCGGGTTCAGGACTTCACTTTACTAAGTAGCATTGTGGAGTGCACAAATCAGCCGACTTGCAGCAGAGAAGCAGCTGGAGACAGTGACAGGAAGGGAGTTGGGGGCAGACCTCATACAAGTATAGAAGCTCTAGTTGCAGAGATGCAGTCAACACTGGCAAGAAAGAAGCGAACTAAGAAGAGAAACTCCATTACAAATCCAGCATCCTCTGGCATGAGTGAAGTACAAACAGCCCAAAAAATTGTCTTGTATGGTCATAAGCAATTGTTTTCAGGTAATGCAACAAAGGACCAACTACATGTAGCATGCTATTGTATGTTTAAATCTAAATATGCAATATGAAAAACAATTCCTACTAATTTATGCAAGCAATTTAATGCAGGTGCTCCTCCAGAAGTGTTGTGGAAAGAAATGTCTATCAATGCAATAAGTGAGCAATTCAAGCATCTCAGTATTAACAGAGAAGGTAGCCATGATGCATATCAACAGCAGAATGCAATTATCCCTTATGATATGAGAAATCAAGAGCAGAATGCACTTGTTCTTTATACAAGAGATGGCACTGTTGTGCCCTACCCTATGAAGAAACGACACCCACGACCTAAGGTCGAACTGGATGAAGAAACCAATAGGGTATGGAAGCTTTTATTGGAAAATATCAATAGTGAAGGTATTGATGGAACTGACGAAGAGAAGGCAAAATGGTGGGAGGAAGAAAGGAGAGTATTCCGTGGACGAGCAGAATCATTTATAGCACGCATGCATCTTGTACAAGGTATCAATTCAGTTATCCAAATTTACCCCAAATACACTCTGGAAGAATTGTTCTTAAGAATCTATTTCTGAATATCTGAATTGGATGGATTCTAAAGGTGAATGAAACATCTCAAAAATGTGATATGATCTTCATATAAGCTTAATACAGTAAAATAAAACAACAATTTTCTCTCTGCTTTATGAACGTACACACACATTGAAGAAACAGATACACCTTTTTCTTGGAGAGACCAATGGCTGGCAAAAAGAAAGGAAAAATGAATGGAAGTTTGCTGTCAATAATGAATTATGTGAATTATCCTCAGGAGAATTTAATGATGCAATCCTAAAATGTAACTTGAGCATTCTAGAGAAAATTGCAACATTTACATATTAAGAAGCACTTTCTTTATTCCTATTTCAAATGAATTTAGTCATTTTCATGGTAGTTCACTTCAATTGTCACAGGGGATAGACGGTTCTCTCAATGGAAGGGATCAGTTGTTGACTCAGTAATTGGAGTCTTTCTTACTCAGAATGTCTCTGACCATCTTTCCAGGTGAAGTAAAGATCTAAAGAGAGTTTAAATACAGAAAAGTTGAGGAAGATTATAACCTGTCTACTGTTTCTGCAGTTCTGCATTCATGTCTCTTGCTGCACATTTTCCCCTAAAATCAAAGGACAATGAACAACCATATCATGAAGGGGATTCAAGCTTAATAATTGATAGACCAGAATTCTATGTATTGGATCCAGAGGAAACTCTACAGTGGAATGAGAAGCCAATTCATCCAGTACATGACCAGAGTTCTGTGACCCTCAATGACTCCTGGCAGTTGGAAGAAAAAGAGGCTGTCAACAGCAATGACTTATCTGGAAGCAGTACTGGTATCACAAGCTCAATAAATGAGTCAATGCATGAGATGCTGAGTTATTCTCCAAGGGATTCAGAAACATGCCATGACTCTGTAGCAAGCAGATCAGACATGCAGATAATTGGAGGAGGAGATGAATGTTCCCAATATGATGAAGCAACAAATGGTGCCATCTCATATCAAAATTCTATGGTTCCATCTCACAGCTCTCAAAATTCTTCAATTGCTCAGACTGCTGAAAGAACAGGTTCAAGCTCAGAAAGCTACTCAGAAGCAGTGGATCAGATCAAGGAAGCTAAGTTCAACATGTTGAATAACAGCTCTTGTTCTTTTGTAAAGCTTTTGGAGATGGCCGGATCTACCATGCTACATGAAGTTTATGTTCATGCAAACTACAGTATGTCATTCCTTGAGAACTTAAAGGCTCAAGGAAGTCAATGTCAAAACAACCACAGACAAGGCATGGATAATTTGGGGGTTCCTAAAAGCTTTATGGCAGAATCCATTATTCCATCAGCAAATTTTCATCCACATCTTACAATTAACTCTGAGGTAATGTCAGTTGAGCACTCTGAGATGTTCAAAGAAGAAACTAAATCTTCCAAAATGTCAAAGAAGAAAAATAAGAACAGCATGAAGGAACAAAGTCCATTGGCCAACGAGTCTGCAAATAAAATCACAGATCAAAATGGTACAGTTCCAAGCGTTCAAGTGGTAATACAATCTCCTGGTGAATATAATCAATTAAGCAACAACAGTCACAGAGATAAGAGCGCAATTACTCTGAGTCAAGCTGGGCTGCAAGGAGAATGTGGAAATTTAGTTGAATCATCAGCTCAAGTACAAAACAAAGAAATGCAGAGGCATTTGAAAAACCATTCAGGAGATATCCTAGATGTTACAGAAAGTACCACTACATTTGACAATCCAAGAAATACCCAGCAAAAAATACAAGAATCAAAGTTGTATGAGCATAGCTGTTCATTTAATAAGGAGCACAATGAGATGGAAGCTGCTACTTCAAAACCAAAAGGTAGAAAAGCAGCAAAAGAGAAAGAGAGTCATGATTGGGATAGCTTAAGAAAACAGGCAGAAGCAGGTGGGAAAAAAAGAGAGAGAACAGAGAAGACAATGGACTCACTGGACTATGAAGCTGTGAGATGTGCAGATGTTCATGAGATTGCCGAGACCATTAAGGAACGAGGGATGAATAACATGCTTGCAGAGCGAATAAAGGTAAAAGCACAGGTACTGTAACAATCCAACTAACGATGCTAGGTCTTTCCTATTGGCTGATGTTGTTTGAGAGTTTCATGCAGGATTTTCTTAACCGACTAGTTAGAGAACATGGGAGCATTGATCTGGAGTGGTTGAGGGATGTTCCACCAGACAAAGCAAAGTAAGCCAAAGAATCCTAAAATATAGTAGACTTACATGCATTCTTAATATCACTTTTGGAGCACGTTCACAAATGCAAAGAGCATCATTTCTTAGCTTCTCTATATAAATTACAAATCTAAGAAATTAAATTTTAACCACTCTTCTAGGGAGTATCTGCTAAGTATAAGAGGACTGGGGCTAAAAAGTGTTGAGTGCGTGCGGCTTCTGACCCTTCACCATCTTGCTTTTCCGGTAAGTTGATATTGTTGCAGCATATCTGTAATAGGTAAAACAGGATTCAACTTCCATGCTTGCATGATAGGTTGACACAAACGTTGGACGTATAGCTGTCCGCTTAGGATGGGTACCCCTTCAGCCACTACCAGAATCACTTCAGCTGCATCTCCTAGAACTGTGAGTATTATGAAGCAACTGATCTTACATCTAGAAACTATTTGTTTGTTACAGAAGTGCTTATTTTGTTTTACCTATGTAGGTATCCAGTCCTGGAATCCATTCAAAAATATCTTTGGCCCCGACTCTGCAAGCTTGACCAAAGAACATTGTAATAACTCACTATACCTTTGACAAAGAAATCTAATTGTTTCATATACAATCAGCCACAATATCATTTATTCTTAGATCTAGGTGCTTGCTAATTTATTAAAATATCTACTTAACAGGTATGAGTTGCATTACCAGATGATCACATTTGGAAAGGTGTGCTATACAAATATTAGAAGTTAGAAAGCTTCTTCTGTCGATTGGTGAGTTAGATAAGGGTAACATCTTTGATCTTTATGCAGGTGTTCTGTACAAAGAGCAAACCAAATTGTAATGCATGTCCAATGAGAGGAGAATGTAGACATTTTGCAAGTGCATTTGCAAGGTTTGCATATCTTATTTTCCAGTTCTCAACCCCTATATTCAGTTTCATATGTGACCCCACATAGAAACCTTAAAATTCGTCTGAAGTTCACATGGAAAATCAAAGCCTAGATGAACAAAAAAAATGGATTTGGATTCTTTGTGCACAAATAAAAGGTCTTTGTTTATATAATAGAAGCATTTCAATCATTTAGCCAATCACCAACCCTTGAGCGTGTTTTCTGGTTAATACCCAATAGGGAACACCAAATACCCCATGGCATAACCTACACAAAACAATCATATGTATACAATGTACATGGTGTTTTAATGCATTTAATTGTTCCTAATTCATGTTCATACAGTGTAAGGCTGGCCCTGCCAGGGCCAGAAGAGAAGAGCATCATCAGTGCCATGGAAAATACAGCATATGATCAAAATTCTGCCACAACCATTGATCAACCACTTCTGCCCTTACCCCAGCCAATTGAACAACCAGAAGGTAACCCGCAGTTTGAGGCAAACAGACAGACAGAGGGAAAAGATGGAGCCAACAAATGTGAGCCTATCATTGAAGAACCAGCATCACCAGAACCAGTGTGCACACAAGTATCAGAAAATGACATTGAGGATATTGAGGATACGCTCTGTGATGATCCTGATGAAATTCCAACAATAAAGCTTGACATGGAGGAGTTCACTCAGACTTTGCAAAACTATATGCAAAACAACATGGAACTTCAAGAAGGTGATATGTCGAAGGCATTAGTTGCTTTAACAGCAGAAGCTGCATCCATCCCCACGCCCAAGCTTAAGAATGTCAGTCGGCTACGGACAGAGCACCATGTGTAAGTAGGCACTTCCTAGTATATGAAGCCTCAATGATTAGAAACCACTCTCTACTATTTCAAGGACTATGTTACTACTAGCTGTAGATAGACAAACACTTAACTCTTTTTCCCCTGGCTTAAAATTTTAACTGCTTAGAACCATAAAGTAGGAATTGCTACCATGGAACTTTTAGAAATCTATTATTTAAAACATTCAAGGAATCAAGCAGCTGAATTTACTGTACTAAAGATGGCAAGCAATATTAAATGCAGAAACCTAACAGAAAATGCACTATGTGTGGTGTATGGAAATGGTTTGCTTAAAAGCAAATTTACCTTTAAGAAAAATAATGTCTCTAAAATTTGAAAAATAGTTAGAGGGAAATTTGAATTTTGCTTTATAAGATGACTTATAAGCAAGTTTGGAGGAAGCTAGAAGTTAGAGATTTTCCAAAACTTGCTTATAAGTCACTTTGAAAAGCTAAATTCAAGTTTACTTCCAACAATTTTCAAATTCTGGAGACAACATTTTGCTTAAACTCCACTAAACAAGCTCATAACACCCTGAAGTACCTCATATCCTATCATCACATACTGACTCTCTCTCTTCTCTCATTCCCCCTACAGCTATGAACTTCCAGATTCACACCCTCTTCTGAAAGGGGTTAGTTATTCCTTGTTTTAGATTATTCATTTTTCATGATTGTATTTTCACTTTATTTCTTTTAATTGCTTCTATTCATATCACAGATGGAAGAACGAGAACCTGATGACCCATGCAAATACCTTCTTGCGATATGGACACCAGGTAATATCACCTTTGACATGACTTCTATAGTTTTGAGTATTATGATCAAGTTTCTCATACAAGTTAATTGCTTACTCTAGAATTCCCCTTTGCTAATTGATTCCATTGAATCATGCCAGGAGAAACAGCAAATTCTATTCAACCACCCGAAAGAAGGTGCAGCTCCCAAGAGCATGGTAAGTTATGTGACGATCAGACATGTTTCTCATGCAACAGTATACGGGAAGCAGAATCACATATTGTTCGAGGAACACTTTTGGTAAGTCAATGCATTCCACGAATATTATGACAGAACAAGGTATAAATATTCTAAAATGAGACGGTAGTCATGCATGTTAAATGCTAAGTTGCTAACCAATACTTGCAACACATGATAAACAGATACCATGTCGAACAGCAATGAGAGGGAGTTTTCCCTTAAATGGAACATACTTCCAGGTTAATGAGGTAACTTCAACTCCACCATTAGTTCCCATGATTCTTCCCAAATTTTAAAACATTCTTTACGCTTAGAATGCAAGTAAAGCAGGTGATATGCAATTTCCCTTCAGGTATTTGCTGACCATAGTTCCAGTCTGAATCCAATTGATGTCCCTAGAGAATGGTTATGGAATCTCCCAAGGCGAACTGTGTACTTCGGGACCTCCATACCCTCAATATTTAAAGGTGAAGACCATAACAGAAGCTTTTTCTGGCAATGTCATGAGGTCAATTATTAATTCTTTTGTGCTTTGGTCTATTAGGTTTAACAACAGAAGGTATTCAACACTGTTTCTGGAGAGGTATGTGGGAATCACAGATTCTTTCAATTTATCAATTCTATCTGCTTTTATAGGAAATATAATCCTCTAGCATCCAACTTGCTAACAAACCCTATACCTTGTGATCTAGAGATGTATACCTATGCCAAACTACACATCATATGCTCCAATATCCAAATGTTAAGAACATAAAAGGAGAGGACTCTTAGAAGCCATCTTCACAGCATCTGTAGGGTTGATGTTTGTAAAAATACTCCAAAGAATGAAAATTGTCACACAAAAAATCAGCATATTTTCTACTCTAGGGGCATCTAATTGTCTTTACCCTATCTAACTCTAGTTCACAGAAATTAAGCTCAATTCAACCGCCCTCTCCTTGAGGTTAGCTTCACAGGAGTAAGGGACCTCTTGCATAAAGCCTCAGCAAACCATACTTTGAGAAAAAGTCAATTTTCGTTGATGTTTTCAATTATAAATCAATACAGTCTAGAAGACAGACATATTTTGAACAATAGAAACTACACTAGAAAGTAGGCTATCGTTCCCTCTAAAATCTGGATTTGTGGCACACAAAAAACACAGAACATGTTCTCTATTGGTTCTGTTTTTATTTATTTATTTATGGTCTGAAAACAAATCACAGGTTATGTTTGTGTGCGGGGATTTGACCAGAAAACACGAGCACCCCGTCCTCTGATTGCCAGATTGCATTTTCCGGCCAGCAAGTTGAACAAGGCAAAAGGTAAGGCTGCTGCAGATGATGATTAGACTTAGATAATGATGCGGTCCGAAGGATAGAGACAGATCAACAATATGACCAAATAATCATAAACAAAGAGCCAGTGGCACTCCATTCTACAAGTGTGACTTCATTCGTGAGGGAGAGTGAGGACATTTTAAGTTGTATAACCCAATCATGAAGACGCATGTAACAAGTACATGGGATGTACATGGCTTACCAAGGTTCCATTTACTAAATCTAGTGCTCAAATTCGAGCAATTTTTCAAATACCAAAGTGTTTCATATGGAATTGGATGATGACTAGTTTTTCCTACAATAATGAACATCATGAACTAAACCTGCTAGGTCACTTTCAAGCATTGCAGATTCACTCAAGCACAAAAATATATGTAAATTGTGTTAAGGCAACTGTATCTCAAGCTTCTTCCACGTGATCAGCAATCAATGACACCATGATTCTAGGATTCATTCAATCTGTATATGTTTATTATGCTGTATCATATATATTGTTTCCATATCAGCTAGGATTCTGCGTTGATGCTTCTGTATATATATTATTCACAAGACAGCAATAACAATATATAACAGTTTGTCTTCTTCAATCTATTGCCTATTAGTGGTATCAGAGCAACTACTGCTCTCACGAGTCTTGATCATGGCCACTCACGATGAATCCCCCAACTCTGCTGCATCCAAAACCTCCCCAAACTCTGTTGCAACTGTTCTCAATCCTGGACTCACCAAAAATCCATTGTCTTTCAATTTCGCTGCATTCCCTGTAAAGCTAACGCCCACCAACTATATGTCTTGGGGGGCTCAATTTACTTCTTTGCTTGCAGGTTATGAACTAGATGGCTACCTTGATGGCAGGAACCCCTGTCCAGTTGCAACCGCACTAGAGTATAGCCTGTGGGCTCGTCAAAATCAACTCTTGCGACATGCTCTTATCACCACTGTCTCAGAGAACATTACCCCTTATATCGCTGCTGCTGCCACAGCACAACAGGCATGGGAAACATTAGCGAGGCTCTATGCTAATCGTTCTCGCAGTCGGGTGATCACTTTGAAGGAACGTCTCCAAAATATGAGACGTGATGGCCGGTCTGTCGCAGACTATTTAAGAGATCTCAAAACTATTGTTGATGAATTGGGAACCATTCATCGTCCACTCAACAATGATGATCTTACGGTTTGTATTCTTAATGGTCTTGGCATTCGGGAGATTGCAGCTTCTCTTCGAGCACAGGACTCCTCTTTCCTTTGATGACTTGCATGACAGATTGGTCCCGCCCTGAGATCACACCGGTGACAGCTCATTATGCCGCTGCTTCCTTTAATTTCAGTACTGATTCCTCTTCTTCATTGAGTGCAGGCAACTCTAATTCTTCTCTTGGCCGCCACCCTCCACAAGCATTCTGTGGCAATCGGAATGGGCAGAACTCTTCCAATCGTGGCAATCAAAACCAGTGTCATAATTTCGGACCCAAACCCACAACTCGACCCACTAATTCAGGTTGCCAATTGTGTGGTCCTGCAGGCCACTTTGCTCGAAATTGCCCCAACTATCGTGTGCAGGCTCTTGGGTCCATGGCAAATTTGGCCTCCTCCTCTGCTGCCTTTTTTTATGACTGCCTATTGGATTCTGGTGCCAACAACCATGTGACCACTGAGTTGGCTAACTTGGTACTTCATTTTAAATACAATGGTCATGATGAGCTTCATAGTGGTGATGGAATAGGTTTGAAAATCACACATGTGAGACACTCCACACTATCTACCTCTCAATCCTCTTTATCTTTGCGTAATGTTTATCCTCTTTATCTTTGCTTAATGTTTCTACCCCTCGCAATTTAATTTTTATCTCTCAGTTGTGTAAACATGCTAATGTTTATGTTGAATTTCATGCAAATTATTTCTTGGTGAAGGATTGCTACACGAACGAGACATTACTCTAAGGGCCAAACATTTATGGGATTTATCAAATACCGAGAAAGCACTAGTAAGAGAGTGTACTTCTTTGGCGATTTGGCATTTACGCTTAGGTCATCCCTCTATGAAAACCCCTAAACAAATTACTAATGTTTCCAATTTATCATTATTGAATAAAATAAAGTTTTCATTATGTGAATCTTGTGCTTATTCCAAAAGTCATAAGCTTTCTTTTTCAAATTCTTCCATTACTAGTCACTTTCCAAATAATATTTTTTTTCATGTATGGGATCCTCCACATGTCCCCTCTATTGATGGTTTTAATCATTTTGTCTTCGATATATATGACTTTATCCCATTAAACACAAGTCTGATGTGTCTATTATTTTTCCATGATTTAAAGATCTTATTAAAACTCAATTTGGGCACAAAATAAAAAACTTACATACTAATGGTGGGGCGGAATATGTAACCCTTCGTCACTCTCTCTACAGGGATCTCTCATTTTATCACCCCTCCTTATATCCCGAAACTCAATGAAATCAGTGAACGACACAACCGTCATATTGTTGAAATTGGTCTTGCGTTGCTTCATACTACCTCCCTTCTACCCAAGTTTTGGACTTATGCTTTTCAAACCTTTGTTTACTTAACAGACCCCCATCCTCAATTTCAAAAATTTCTCCATTTGAAAAACTATTTCATGTTCGTTCCAATTTTTGTAACTTTGTGTTTTTGGGTGCTTGTGTTATCCTTAGCTTCGACCCTATAATTCCAACAAATTACAATATCATTCTAATCCCTATTTATTTTTAGGATATTCTATAGACAACTTGGGTTACAAATGCTTGGATTTGGGTTCTGGAAAATTGTTTTCTCCCGCCATCTCGTGTTTGACAAATCTACCTTTCCTCACAAAACTAAGTCCAATATCCTTGTTATACCCTCTGCCTTTTTACTCACAAATGAGCCTTCACCTACCTCTACCTTTGCCTTTGATCTTCGTAATTCACCATTGTCACTTCCCTTTCCTACTGGTGCTCCCCATAAATTTGTGGCTCAAGAGTTGCCTCTTCCTAAAGCTAGTCCTTTGTTAATCCCGTCGCAAGCAAACCAACCCCCTTCCATGCCTTTCACTAGCTCTTCTCCTGACTAGTCACGTCCCCTATCTAATCTTGCCCATTCTCCTACAACTCGATCACTGAATCTATTACCAGCCCAATCCAGTCCTCACAGTCCCACATCCCCAGCCCATTCCATTCCTAGTCACCCTTCCTTATCCTCAATCCAAGCCTCACAACCTTCCACTTCCCCAGCCCAAGCCACAAGTAGTCTGACTCCACCCAATCCTTCTACCTGGTTACACTAAATGCGCACTTGCTCCTTAAATAATATTTTTAAA